AACCTCGTTCCAAGGCCTTAAGGCAAACTTCGAATACATGCAATTTTGCGAAATGTTTTCTTCGATTATTTCCCATGCATATACGCTAGCTATTCCGAATTATGAAATATAAAAAGCAAATTATAATACGAAACGTTTTTATTAGAAAAGTTTAGGGATGGACAAGACCAAATCATGTGCATAATTTTCAAGGGGACAATTGTGCTATCATACTTTGTTTCACCACAAGTTCTGGAAGAATGCTACCCTAGAACTGAGTTGTAGTCAAGCTTAAGCACGTTTACTTATTTTGTTGACTTAAAAAAGATAGTTACTTATTTGGCATACTATCCCTTGGTTGGAGATGCTCTAAGCCAAGTGGGCCACGCGAGAAATTTAAAACCCACACAAATGGACTCCAATTTTGGCATATACCAAGGTTTTTGATTAGGGATAGCAGCCTCTACTGAGGACTAGCCAGGTCCTGTGTTACATAAAAAACGGAGAAGAGAGAAAAATCTTGCAAGTGTGGTTTGCTTCTGCACAACAAAATGGAGAAGAGAGAAAAAGCTCACTGTCTGGTTTTGTTCTATCCAATCCAAGGCCACATAAATCCCATGCTCCAATTCTCCAAGCGTTTACAGCACAAAGGACTCAAAGTCACATTGGTCACTACCCGCTCTGTTCACAAGGCCATGCATGGAGATGGAGGAGGACAATCACCATCATCATTCTCTTCCATTGCATTGGAGACCATTTCTGATGGGAATGATGGAGAAGGTGGGAGTTCCCAAGCAGAGAGCATCCAGGCCTACTGGGACCGTTTTCGGGAAATCGGCTCACAGACTTTGGCTGAGCTCATTGACAAGCTCTCTGCCTCAGGCCACCCTGCTGATTGTTTAGTTTATGATCCAATTTTGCCTTGGGCTCTTGATGTAGCCAAAAGGGTTGGGATTGCTGGGGCCGCTTTCTTCACTGTATCTTGTGCTGTTACCAACATATACTCTCTTGTCCATTATGGGCTGCTCAAACTTCCTCTCAATCCGGACTCTGAGATTTTTCTGCCTGGATTGCCACCTCTTCAACCTTCAGACACCCCATCTTTCATCTTTGTTCCTGAATCTTACCCTGCTTTCTTTAAACTGTCTTTGGATC